GAGAGAGAGAGTGAGAGAGAGAGGAGGAGGAGGAGGGTGAGAATTCAATGTGATATTATCCTTCCACTTACTTTCCATCCACGCTGGTGTCTCACTCTCAGCATTCGGTTGCTCATTAGTGTCGATCCTGTTGTCTCTCAGGCTTAGGGAAGGTTGATGTAAGTCCTCAGCTGGTAGTTGTTGTTTTTTTTCTAGTCCTTTTCTTCAACCATTGATCCCTCTAAGTTTATAACGACGATACAGAAACTTGTTTGGTCGTTTTCGCGCAATGTTTATCTCCACACAGTTCAAGATTTTTCGTGCATGATATTCAAGAACTCTGTTCAAACCGCTGTTATGCTTTTTGTATTAATAACCGAATACTAAATTATGTAATTAAAATAAGTTAGAACGGAAGTTTTCCGTAACTTTTCTGCATTCACGGTATAACCCTATTCAGATACTTGTTGGAGACTTCAAGGCTTGCCCAAACTAGGGCGTGTCGTGTGGGAGGGTTTTTGGCTGGTCAGTGAGTGGAGACAATGGCATGTGGGGATGGGTTTACCGTTGGGTTACGATCGCTGGGTAAGAATTTCGTATACTGCCAATATTGAAAAAGCCTTCCCTCCGCGATGGATATTGTTTCGAAAAACCACTTGGTTTCTCCGACTCTACGCAGCACTGCCGAGGGCGAACACTGAAGAGTCGGCTGGCGGCTGCGAGAAAGAATCCGAATACATAGCGTCCCGTGCAAGACGTTTGTCACCGTAAAACGAAAAGATGGTGTTTTCTGTCTGAATTTTTTTTCTTTTTTTTTGCGCCGTCGCCCCGGTCAAGGCCAGAGGATAACGTAGGTCGGCTGTATCGAGCAGTTGTGCTAACTGGCTTCAAAAAAAAAAAAAGTCCTGAACTTTTCCGACTCCATGAAATCAAGTGCACGGCGGCTTAAAATTTACCAAACAGTTATCATTTATATCTCTTGTCAAGACTGGTTTTTTTAATGTGCAACAGGTTCTCAACAATCGGCCAGTCGGGCAAAATTCGGACTTTTCAGGAATTGGATTTCCAGATTTATCCGGAAATTCGGAAGCTCATACTCAGCTCTCGTTGAGGGCCGTATGACGCGGGGGGACGATCCCCATTTCGACGCCATGAGAGTGGGCTTTGGCCGAAATCTTCTGTATTTGACCAGTTCTTGCATGTTCAAGTGCGCATACACTGTAAGGGGAGTTCATTCACAAAATGCTGATTAACTTGAATTTGAACTTAGTTAAACATGATTTAAACTGCACTTGCACGTGCGCAGTAATCTAGTTGCATATATCATGACGACACATCATTCTCAGCTAAATAATAATGGAAACAGACATATTACTTGTAACTTATTTACATCAATGATCAAGTCCGAACAGCTTTTGAATCGCCATTTTGCGAAATTAGAGATCACAATCTTCAAAATGATGTATAACATGACTAATTTCTGGGCGTGTGGAGAGCTTTATGCCCATTTCATAAAAAGGACGTTTTTGGGGGGCAACATTGCGGGGGGGGGGGGGGGGTTCACTTAGAGGAAAGGGGGTGTCATCTTTGAGAGTGTTTTTGAACATGCTCTGCTATTGACAGGAACATAAGACCTTCATTTTGGGAAAGTAGACATTTCAAAGTATCCGAATCCGTTAACAGCCCAATTTTGATCTGAGACTCAAAAATGACGTCATTTGACCATGACCTTCCCCCGCATCATGCCTTAAATTTCGAAAAGGGGAGGAGAAAAGAAAGATGCTTCCCTGAGGAACACCTTCCTCCTGTTGGTGGGGGTTCTGAAAGGGAGGAACCGAGACGAACCTGGAAGGAATGGGTTCTTCAAGAAATTGCCAATGAAGGCAGGGGGGTGACTGTGTATGCGGAGAGCGTGCAGGTCTCTGAGAATGCCGTGTCGAAGGCGTTTTCTTGGTTGAAAAAAAAAAGATGCCCATCAGGTGGCCTCCCGTGGCAAACGTCTCGCGTATAAAGGTCTGCAGGCGGACCAGGTGGTCCAGAGTGGACCGAGTTTTCCTGAATCCGCACTGGAAACTACTCAACGAGCCCGCCATCTCCAGAAACCACATGAGTCTCCTGTGAATCATTTTTTCTTTAAGTTTGCATAGACAGCTCGTTAGTGCTATTGGTGTGTAATTGGATGTGTGTGTTTGTGTGTTCTTTGTTAGATATGAGCATTGAAATGACAGTGGCGAGACGCCAAGACTCCGGAAAGGAGTGCAACCGCCACATTGTCGTTGTATATGTCTAGTACGAGTGTAAGTGTTTCCGGGGGTATATGCCTAATGATCAGGTTATGAAAGTCATCCGGAGCCGGGTCTGTATTGTCCAGGTCCGAGATGCACGATGTTAGTTCCTCTAATGTGAAGTTTGCGTTGTAGATTTAAGTGTTGTTTGAGTGAACGTTCAGGTGTTGTTGTTCTCTGTTAATTTTGATGTTTCGCAAGGTGGTGTTGCAGTTTGCTTTGAATTAGTTTTTGGAGAGAGATGTAGCTATTGTGTCTACCTGTGTTTCAGCTGTGGTTCCACCCAGCCTCTGAACATGCCGGATAGTGTCTGTGCGTCTACCCAAAAATGTTTTTGGCGATTTTAAAAACTTGGTTAGGTGGTGTCTGATAGTTAATTTTGGAGATGTATTTTCTGAATGATTGTCTTTTGCTCTCCCTGAGGCAACTACGTACCTCATCACGAGCTTTTAAATAATTAATTTTGTTTCCTGTGGTGGTGTTGTCGACGGCTTTCCAATATGCTGCCTTCTTTTTCTTTACTGCATCATCACACTCAACAGAGGACCAGACCTTGTTCTTCCGGGGTTTTGGATGTTATTGGTATGTATTTGTGACATATTTTTAGAAGCGTCTGACCTGACCATCAATGATTTATTTATAGAGGCCCCAGCCATCCATGTCCAGGTGCTGTTTTAGCCTCTTTTTCCTGTATGCGGATTAATCATATCTTTTTGCCAATTTATTGGTTCCGCTTCTATGTACCCCATATCTATGGTTCTCAACCTGGAAATCTCCTATAATTCGCTGTAATTGCCCCCCCCCCCTTCCCCCTACCATTTCTCATCATCCCCGCCCCCTTATAGTGTCATCATTTATGTTACCGTCTATTTTTATCGATAACACGATTGTAGATTAAGGGCAGTAGTAATGATAATCAAGAAAAAAGAAAACGAACCATCAATTAAATAAAAAAATAAATAAATAAATACATGAATAATAAATAAATAAATAAATAAATAATGCTAATGATTGTCATTTCTAGAAGCGTATCATGGCATTTGTTGTAGTTGAGGTCGAAAGTGGGGTTCAAAATCTGGGAACATTTAATGGCGAACCCGTCCCACTATGCCGTCTTGAAATTGAAGTGTTCTGGGATCGGGTCCTTCTGGAGGCTATTGGGTTGTTGTTTTTAAGAATTGAATACGGTCATCCAGCACAGACTACTTAAGATCAGAGGCTCGGTCAGGGGTACAAAAGGTGAGGACAAGGGATGAAGGGCAAAAGTGGATCTGTTTCTGTACGTATGGGGGCAATCATTTAAGAGGCAGATGTTATTATGAAATTAAAAAATCTATTATTTTTCTTTCTGGTCTGTGGGTTTGTCTCCCCCACAGGGGGTTGTGGGCATTACAGTCACAAAGCAAAATAAAGAGGTTTGGAAGCTGGAGCTGTAAATCATTTAGGTGAGTTATTTTGAGGGGGGTGATGTGGTGGGATATAAACAGAGCAGAACGTGATTGGTATGTGCAGGGTGACCCGTACCGTCGTACAGCAATACAGTGGAGGATAGTCTCGAGACGTACTTGTCTGTGAATTGTGTTGTTGTCGGTGTAGATGGTGGTTCCACTGGAAGCAATCTGGTTATTCGTGTGAATATGATGATACGCAGTAAATCCTAAAGTCTATGGTTGAAATCGGAGCGAACTTTGTCTCCTGGATACAGGCCACAAGTGGGTACAGTGTGGCCTGTAAGTGTTGCAATTCTGCAATGAAAGGTCGGAACGTTTTGGAATTTGTGTTTGGCTATCATATCCAGCCATTAAATAATTAAAAAGAAAAGTATAAAAACAAAGTATTCAATGTTAAAGCAGATTACATGTACTAGCACATCAACAAATGATTTTATGTTTTATACCGCGTATCAGTTCTGTTTGCAACTTTTCTCTTTCTGGATATATAGACAGTCTAATGGTTTTCATGTTTGAAAATGGGCAAGTTGACTTTACTTTTCTACTGGGCAAGTTGATATTTGAAATAGTTGCCCGACAGGGCATCAGAGCATTGTTGCACATAAAAAGAAAAACTGGTCTGGAAATATGACTTGAAGAACCTTTACAATGACATCGACGTTAAATCAATCTTCAGCAATGGCTACATGTCTCTCTTACGAGCCTGCCTCCCGGAATTAAAGAGTTAAACAAAATTGACAGAGAACAAGAAAAGCAGCATTGCAATACCATTGACTTACTTATTGATGCTGTCCCTGTTATTCATGAACAACCTGTGTAAACGCTTTGCATCCCCATCAAACTGGTGAATTTCTGTTTCCAGTTTTAAGCTCTGTTCTTTCTTAGCTTGGATTTCACTCTGCAAGCCTAGAAAAAAAACAAGTTCTCATTAATAAAAAGAAAATGATTTCTTTATCATAATGAATCTTGAATAACTAAATTTCTTCAAGTACATACAGAGGAATACATGCACCTTTAGCACAAAAGAGTCCAAATAGGAGGCAACAGGTCAGTCCAACAAAGACGATAAAGCCATCATCAGCGTGGTGAAATCAGGCGCTCGTCAAATTAACGAAATCGGAGAAACGCATTTTTCCACCAGTTTGGACATTTTTAACAAATTTTTATTTTTTGGTTTAACCTCTTTTATGTCCATATGAAAACACATGTTCATGTGAACTGTTCTGACAAACACGGATTTTAGGCACAAAATTGATTCCACCGCGTCGTGACACATATCTTCGTACTGAAACAAAGAGATAAACAGACAGACAAATAGATGATGAGTGAGAAAGTGTACATGAAGTAAGATAGAGGACAGAAGACCATCTCCTGCTCAGCTAGATATATCTACCACAAACAGAAAGCTGCACGAAGGCTGGTATGGGCTAGCATGGACCCCATTTGCTATCGGTACCCCACATCAAGTGGTTTTAGCACATATGCAAAAGAAGGAGCATGTCTATCCCCACCTATACCCAGACACAGCCGGTTAATTCCTGACAAGTCCATGTCCTCCTAGGGTCCACCCCACTTGCTTTTACACAAAATGCATGGCAATTTTATGGTTTACAATTCTGTTGAAATAATATAATCTTTGCATTTAAATAGCTCATATTCACATTCTACAGCATGCTCTATGCATTTTACCTATTATTACCCAAGTCGACCCGGAACACAACTCAAAAACACTCTCAACTTCACAGAAAGCAAAAAGTGCAAGTTGCTGATTTCACATGCTCAAACACTTAAAAACTGACAAGATCTGTTGCTGTCTAAAGCCGGGAACCAATTCCCATCTGGGTTGGGTAAAGTGAGGAAAACTCGTGTCAATTGCCTTTCCCAAGGACACATGTTGGACCACTGATGGGATTTGAACCCACAATCTCACAGTTGCGAGTCCAAGAGCCTAACCACCAGGGTTGGGTTGATTTAAATCAGGTCAATTTAAATCAGTTGATTTTTTAAATTTAAATCAACTTGATTTTGTAAATAAAAATCAGTGATTTAAATTACTTTCTTTTAAAATGTATTTTTATTCAGTTTTTACATATTTAAACATTCAGAATTCCTTTCCTTGGTTTCATAAAACAGATATAAGGTTTAGTAGACTAATATAATCATGCTTAAAAGTCTGCTTTCCCCCTTTCACTGTAAAATTTAATAGTATTCAATTTACATTTTTTCTATAATGAAATCAGAGCTGGGTTGGTTTAAATCAGTTCATTTTTTAAAATTTTAATCAACTTGATTTTGAAAAGAAAAATTTGTGATTTAAATCATTAAAGAAAAAAATATATTCCGTTTTTACATTTTAAACATGCAGAATTCCTTTCCTTGGTTTTATTAAACAGATATAAGGTTTAGATCTAGTAGACTAATATAATCATGCTTAAAAGTCTGCTTTCCCCCCCTGTCACTGTAAAATAATACAGTATTCAATTTACTTTTTTTTTCATAATTGAAATCAGGGTTGGATGGATTTAAATCTGTTGATTTTAAAAAATCTAAATCAACTTGATTTTAAAAATAAAACTCAATGATTTAAATCACTTTTTAAAAATGTATTCTGTTTTTATATCTTTAAACATTCAGAATTCCTTTCCTTGGTTTTATAAAACAGATATAAGGTTTAGTAGACTAATATAATCAAGCTTAAAAGTCTGCTTTCCCCCGTCACTGTACAATAATACAGTAATCAATTTACTTTTTTTTCATAATTGAAATTAGCATTTCCTTTTTCTTTTTAGACAAACACAAGCAAGCGCGCGCACACACACACACACACACACACACACACACACACACACATACACACACACACACACACACACACACACACACACACACACACACACACACACTGTAATAAAATGCAAGTTTATTTATGCATAATTACCCCCCCCCCCCCCCATCTCCTTCCTTTTAGACTGACATTTTCTTCATTTTTTGTCTGTAGCCATAATTCACTGATATTAAGATTAAGGCTCCCTTTTGCAGTTGCTTAAATTAATCATTAGTTGAAATAGAGAAAATGCATTTTGCACTAAAAGAACATACTTTTAGCCACCAAAAATCCCAAACTGTGTCGACATTTTTTTTTTTTAATCACACAAATCCGATGTAATTTTTTTTACATATCTGATTTAAATTTTAAAAATCGATTTTTTAAACTTTTATTTTTTTTTAATTAAAAAAATCACCAACCCTGCTAACCACTAGCCCAGCAACGCCGTGACACTAAGCTAGATATGGGCTGACCAGAATCCTCTCGTATGCTCAACTCTGTTTTGTGTCTTGTCTACGTTCCTGACAAGATGATGCCATATCCACATCCGCCCCGTCTGAGTGAACCCAAATATATGGGCACTGGGCATTCTATTCTATGGTTGTACCCAAGCAAATCCAGTATTGCACTTGAGTAGAGATAGGAAAAACTAAAACATCTAAAATGCCTGTCTTTGACCCCATGTCAGACTTATAGTGTTCTGCAAAAGTAAAAAAGTGACAGATATTTAAATATTATAAAGTATAATAATCAAGTTTCAGATCCATTCTTTTTTTCAAGAAGAAAACCAAGACTAACTTTCATTATAAAAATTTTATGTCCTATGCATAAAACACAATAACTTTTAAATTATACTGACTACGAAGCTTAGAATATGAGGCATAATATAACTTTCTTCACAGCTTAAATAAACAATAATAGAAATAGCTAAAACACTTACTAGCAATGAACTGGTTCTCTTTCTCAATCATTTTCACAAACTGTTGATTTTCAAACTCTGAAAGATTAAGAAAGAAGAGTAAGTGGCCTGCATGTACCAATCTTCAACCCTCGCCCCTTAGCTTTATATTAGAGGACGTTTCATCTTGAGAAGTGGGTTTACCATCTCAGCAATGTTCCTGTCTAAATGTTCTCCCTTACTCTAAATGTGCTTACATTAATTTATGGACCACATAAACAACCATAGCAAACTTAAACTTCAAAGTTTGTTTATGAGAGTACCTAATTTTCTCCAATTTCAGATCACCAATGCAGCAGCCTCAATCATAAGGTACTCGGCCAAAAGGAACCCCCCCCCCCCTTTTCCCAATTTTTTAAATGTCAGAAAAATATAAAACAGTCACATAATATATATACATGTATGTGTGAAAAGTACAGAAATCGACAAGCCTGTTGGAATTTTAAAGCCAAGACAGACACTAAAGGCATTTTTAAAAGAGATAAAACAGCTTACCAAAACTGTGAATAAGCTTATCAAGCTCAGACAATCCACAATCATTGTTGGTTGCCATAATGACAAATCTGTCTGGCTGAAATATATAGAGTACATTTCATACCAAAGATATTGAAAACAGAAACCGCTGGAAAAAACTGCGGAAAAAAAGACAAGCCTACTATATTTTCTCTGGTAAGTGAAATCTATTCTACAAAGGCAAATATGAAATAACAAAACGTCAATTCAGTAATATCACAAAACAGCATAAAGTTGTAAGCTTTTCAAACCTTCCTATCCCAAAATGTTAGCAAAAATGTTATTACATTGGGGTTTTTTTTATTGTGGTTTCAGTTGCATGCACTCTATAAATATTTTATTAAAATTTGAATTTAGATGTTGAAAAAAAAGTACAAAAATAAAGCGTCACATAAATCCCTGGTACGTCATATGCATGCTAATGAAAGAGTATATTATATTAGCCATGGTCTGTCAGCAAGCAAAATATTTGTTTTTATGACTGTGTCACATGGCCATACAGCGCCGCTGAAAGGGGTACATCTTAAACTTGTCTTCTAAGACAAAGGTTCGTCCCTCAGAAATGTTTACAATATTCCTGTAGATTTCATGTGTTTAATACAAAATACAGTGGAACTCGGGATTCAACGAGGTCGCTGGGCCTGACCTAAAATCTCGTTGAATCCGAGTTTTCGTTATAGCAAAATCGAGGTTTTGTGTAGATAATTACAGGCACTGAGCAAGTAATGTATAAAGAGAAGTCACAAGTAGTGCCTGAAATGCCTGCATATTATGAGCTGGGTAAAGAGAGACCGATTCGTTCAAATGCACACATCTGTGTCATCTTGATTGTTTACCAAAAAGCTGTGTTGCTGTGTAGAGCCTAGCATACGGCAACTTTAGATTCCATGGACGACCGCACAATTCATTACGTAGATCTACGTCAAGACTAGCTGATCATTGTAACAGTGATCATTTGCCAAGAGGGGAAAAAAAGACTGACGCGTTAGTATTTGCGACATTCAACGCCAGGATCGCTAGTGCCCCCTCCCCTCCCCCCCCCCCCCCCTCGACACACACAAACAGTCACACGTGTGCAGGCCGCCCATCCGATCCCGACACACGCCAGAGTAGACACGTGCACGTGCCAAAAACGCATGTGTTGGAATGAAAAAGGCCGCTGATTGGTAGCATGCAATCGGCTAAGCGAATAATGGTTCACGATGCAGGTGCAATGGATGGTATCCAGGAATAGATAAAGTTCGTTCTGGGAGAAAAATGAGCGAAGCCACGTCCTCGGGAGCTGTTCATCCTGGAAGCGACCTCGTTGAATTTGAGCTCGTCGATTTAAGTGCTCGTTGAATCCGGATTATTTTTATTGATTTTAAAGAAGAAAAAAAAAACGGGGAATCTACCTCATCTCCTCGTTGAATACGAGTTCTCGTTGAACCCGAGCTCGTTAAATCCGAGTTCCACTGTATACACATTAGCTGGTAAAAGACCAGCGTGCTGAACTAAACAAGGGGACAATAATTCAGAGTATTCTGACAAATGCTCATGGAAAACCTGATGTTAAGCAAAAGAAGACAATTTTATGATGGACATTTCCCAACTCGTTTGGGTGGCGCACTTAAGCAGCCCTACACGCACATTTTTTTTCTTTTTTTTTTTTTTTTTTTGGGGGGTCAAAATTGTTTACGTCAAATAATTTGACCATTTGTTGATCGTTTACGGCTGATACTGGTGTCCTGAAAATATTGATGTCCAAATTTTGAGTATGTCCTAAGAAAAGGATATTTATTACCCAAACCATCAAAGTATTTGTGCGTGTGTGGTACCCCATCTAGATCTATATTTGGCGCAAACTTCATTTTGTTATTTGCCATAGGACAGAAAATATTAAATGGTGCCATCTAAAGAGGAGAGAAAAAATCATCTTGAGCTGATAGATGTGTATCGGAGTTTACCCGAGTTTTAGAAAGTGAAAAGGGGTGATTATTCTGATAGAAATAAAAACGATGAATTTCAGACTCTTCTACACAAATATCGCGAGTGGTACTATTAGGAAGGGACGAAAGATGAACTGAAGAGGAAGATCAACTCATTACGGAGGAATTTTTTAAAGGAACTGCAGAAACCACTTTTTGCTCCACTTTCGTTTCTTTTTCGTGTTTTTTAGCCTGAAGACTAAAGCAAAAGCCAACGCGCTGTTGGTGCGTCCATTGTTATTAGATCTATGCACAAACTGATTACTGCCCAATATATATTATATATATATTGGGGTGACCTTATTTAGGCCACATTATAAGGCCTATATAAGCTAAACCCCCTCCCTATCCTTATTTAGGCCGCATACGGCCAATGTAGGGCTAACCCCCCCCCCCCTTTCCCTTGCTTTATTTAGGCCCCGTATGGCCTACATAAGCTAGCCTTTTTAAGGTAATATGTGGCACGACGCGGTGGAATCAGACGCTCATCAAATTTTTGGCATATGGGGTTATTGGCATCATCATCATCTCAAATCCTGTTCATTGACCTTCCTTTAGGTGAAAAAAATATCCATCTATCTTGAATAGAAGTCGAAATATTTGCAATTGAACGAGGTCAGGGTCGCCAGGTTTCAGAGGTAAAATAAGCGAGAAAATGGCCGCCAAATTTTGGTAACTACCATAGCCCCTGATAGTCTTCGAAAACTGAAAATTTACAATTTTTTTGGTGCTTTTAATCAATGTTTTTCAGAAAATCCACCAAAAAAATGTGTTTTGAAAAGGACATATAAGGTGTTGGGAAAAAAAGAATTGAAAAAAGTGACCATCGGCCCAAAAAATGCCGATTTCGTGGATTTTAGTATTTTGACGAGCATCTGATTTCACCACGATGCCCCACATATATATAACAATTTTTTCAAAACCTCTTCACATCCATCTTCCATCACAGCAGGACATGTAATGAATCTAGAATCAATTTAAGGTCCTTTTCTGTATCTATGAATTTGCCGTTAAAAACCCGTGCCGTTGGTATATGTCTGAATTACACGTATTAAAAGTATATATAAATGTGTATTTAAATTTTCTTCCAAAGTGGATAGGTGGACCTCGGGGTGTAGCCTAACATCTTCATGTGTTAGTGTTAGGGTAAGGCAAGGTTTCAAAAAGAAAAAAAGAAAAAAAAATGGTGGGCGGACTCGGTTCGACATTATTCCAGTTAAACGTCTGCCATTTTTAATTTTTATTTTTAATATTTTGTAAAAACGTATTGGAGAAAAAAAAGTGATTTGTTTGATTTTCTTTCTTTTAATCATCTCCGCATACATATATGTATTTGACAGAATCTAGAGTAACACAGCCACCTGGCAACACTGAACGTCTTTGTATTTTGAGGATTTGAGACTTGAGTCATCATGGGGAAATCAGGCACTCGCCACAATAAAATCAACAAAATCTGCATTTTCCGCCATTTTTGCAATTTTTATCGGATTTTATTTTGGCTCAACACCTTTTATGTCCATTTAAAAACACATTCTTGAGAGGATTTTACTAGAAAACAATTAGAGGAACAAAAAAAGAAAATCTGAAGTTATCGGACTCTCAAGCTTGTGAAATCACTAAAATTTGGCCGCCATTTAAAACTGAAGTTAACGGACTCTCAAGCTTGTGAAGTCACTAAAATTTGGCCGCCATTTTTTAAAAAAATGTTACCTCTGAAACCAGGTCCCACCTTTTATCTTCACTAATATTTATGAAAGTTGCGAAGTTGTGTAGGGGCTTGCTTATTTTTTGTTCAATCAGTCAAAGGTTTTGAGTTCAATGCAGTGGCGAAGCGTCTATATAATCAAATACTCACTGCTTCCCTTCCTAATTTTTAAACACTGTCACAGTCAAATTCACCCATAAACGTAAACCTTATAAATTAAATGTAAAAAGACGCTCATAATCAACAATGAACAGTATGCCTACCATTCAAAACTGTTTCACTGCCACAGAAATAGCCTGCTCAGCCCTCTAGGGCCACTCCATAAGCAGTCACAAGCTTTGATTAAGTAAGTTTAAAGTGAGGCTGGAAGAGTCTACCAATAGAGTTGAAGGGAACATGACGTGCATAGCAGTCAAAACTGTTTCATTGCCACATATACCCTGTTCACCCCTTTCGGGCCACAGTTATAAGCAGTCACAAGCACTGATTATGTAAGCTAACAATTACACAGGTTGAGTCTACCTCACAAATGTGAGGGGAACTAACTCCTAATAATCTCTTGACTGCTGCGAGTGCTTGTTTTTTTTTTCCTCGACTTTTACCGTCCTATAATCAGATCGTGACCTCGATTATGACACCGATTCCTGGCCGCGAAAGGCTAGAAAAAAACAGCCAAATGTGAAATTTAAAAAATGATAATTGTCATGTTCTACCAAAGAGTTAGACTCCCTGGTAGATCTATAACATAATATAGATCTAGTACTGACATTTCTACTTCTTTGCTTTGTGTTTGTGTATTCACATCTAAAGTTAAATTTAATTTCAGTTGTTAATGATATTTAATGAGATACTTTCCCGATTATTTTGGCGGTTGAATATACAATAATGAATTCCGGAT